GCAATAGTTAAACACACAGCTTTGGAGTCAGGTCTGGATCCACATCTTTACCCTGGCAGTTTCTAGTGGTATGGTCTTATGTGGGTCTTCACCTTTCTGTGCCTAGATTTCCTCACATATAAAGTGGGAATGGGGACTTCCCTGGTGGTCCAGTGGTTAAGACTGTGTGCTCCCAATGCAGGGGATACGGGTTTGATCCCTGGGCGGGGAACAGAGGTCCCGCATGCTGCATCCAGGAAGGGTCTATAAGTGGAGATGCTTCTGTCTACTAAAGAGCGAGAACCAAAGTGGTCCCTGATGGATGCTGCGCTGTCCTCAGGGGATAGAGAGCAAGTATTCAGTGAGGTCATTAGCCGTTGATTTACTGTGTTTCGATAATTCAGGTCTCAAAGGATCTTTGCCTCCCAGTTCTGTTCTGAGCGGATGACAATGATGAGCTGGTAAAGCTGGAAATGACGTGACTTTACATACCTAAGGTTACTAATAAAAGAAACTAAGGTCCAGAATATTTAAGTGACTTGGCCAAAGTCACACAGTCAGTGAGTGCCAGAAAGAGGACTAAAAGCTTTTCTTACTCCCAAGCCATTGCCTTCTCCTCTACAACACCTCCTCCCCCCTCCAAAATAATACTGATGGTTTTACCTCATGCCCTGTGTGCACAAACAGCTTTAAGTCCTTACGCTGTGGAGTCACCATGGCCACCAAAGGAGTCTAATTCTTTTATCCATATTTCTAAGTGGATGGAGGGGTGATTTGCATCATAGAAATTGATTGGACTTGCTGTGCAATGGTTTCTGTCCCATCAAGCAGGCCCAGGAGAATCATTATTATGTATTAGAGCAAGTGCGGGAAGTGGCTGAGTCACCTGTGGCCACATGAGCATCCAGATGACTGGGACCAACTCTGTTTATGTCTATAATGGCCTCTCTTCACCTAGAACATAAGGACGCTTAGTTATTTTTCCACTTGGTCGTGTTGATGATGACAGTAATCATGATTAGAAAATATAGCTGTCGGGAAAAAAAAGAGGCAAAGATGATACAGAATTATTCAACCAAATGAGATAAGAAGAACATAAACTCGATTTTTTTTTTTTTTTTTTTTTTTTGCTGTACGCGGGCCTCTCACTGTTGTGGCCTCTCCCGTTGCGGAGCACAGGCTCTGGACGCGCAGGCTCAGCAGCCATGGCTCACGGGCCCAGCTGCTCCGCAGCATGTGGGATCTTCCCAGACCGGGCCACGAACCCGTGTCCCCTGCATCGGCAGGCAGACTCTCAACCACTGCGCCACCAGGGAAGCCCCATAAACTCGATTTGGATGCTGTGTTTTGGCATCCTTAGTCCTAGTTTTTTCTCACCTTGACTGCATTTCTGTTTATAACACAGAGGGGAACTAGAGGGAAATGTCTTATTTTTCTCAGTTTCTTAAGTATTTAGGAGATAACTAAATTATACATCTTGGATTGGAGTCTGTCATTGTTTACTATCCTTGTTGGTGTTTATGTCAGACTTTATTCTTCTAATAAATGGCTGTGTGTTTATTTTCCATAAAGCTGTTTACCTTCATTGTTGTCAAGGAACCAGTAACCTTGGTAAATATTTTCTTATATCTGTTTCAATCAAATTGATGAGTAAATCTAATTACCAAGATGGCTCAACTCCTGACAATTTTCAGTGAAAAGTATAATATGATTTGGATCTGGTTGGGTTAGAGGACATCTATAGGAGCATCCTGGAGAAGGGATAGGAATCCCTGCCTGAAACAACAGGTCTGTACAAACCTGAGGAGGTCCCTATCTGCCCAAGGTGGTCCCTCCATCTACCTGAGGTGGTCCCTAAGTCTTCCATTAGCATCACATCACTCTGCATTTCTAGGAAAGAGTCTGTTTTGTGATGATCTTCTGCTCCAGTCCCTAGATTCTCTGCTCAACTACATACAAGACTTGGTTTGAGCAAGGTCTGTAGCTTTCCCTCTCATTTATAGTCGGTGCAGTTAAAATCCCAAAGACAGAAGAGACCAACTACAAGAGCAACAACTTCCTTATTTGGGCCATTTTATTAAGAATGTTTATGGGCTTCTGTCATTAGTTTGCATTTTGGAAATCCAATAATACTAGTGTGAAAATAGTTGAAAGTGGGACAATCATCTTTATTCAAAAGTCAGTATTTCTGATTTTCATGTCACTCAAGAAGAAATAGAGACATGCCTATATTGACAAAATTTGGCTACATGCAAATGGTCATAGCATTTTTTTAAACTTTACAGTGCTTTTCCCTGATCCCATAGTTATCATCTATATCTCAGAAGCTGGTTTTTCCATATTTTCCATGTATCTAGATCATCTCTTTTTCCCCTGACAGGGAAGATTTTCATATCCTTCATTAATCCCTACCAAAACACAATCCTTTTCCTCCTCAAAAGAGGTATAGGTGGGTTTCCCTGGTGGCGCAGTGGTTGAGAGTCCGCCTGCCGATGCAGGGGGCACGGGTTCGTGCCCCGGTCCGGGAAGATCCCACATGCCGCGGAGCGGCTGGGCCCGTGAGCCATGGCCACTGAGCCTGCGTGTCCGGAGCCTGTGTTCCGCAACAGGAGAGGCTGCGACAGTGAGAGGCCCGCGTACCGCAAAAAAAAAAGAGGTATAGGTAAGCTTTGCTTACCTTATCACATGTATTACTTATAGTTTTCCATAAATTTTCCCATTAACTGGCTGAATTTCTCAGGTTGTATTTCATGCTTTTAAAAAATCTCTGGATTTAAGATTGTATTCACTTATCAACCCTTTATGGAGTTTCCATTAGATAGTAAGCTGCAGAGAGCAGGAAAGTGTATGTATTTTTTCACTACCATTGTTTCAAAACCCAGAGCTAGGCCTGGAACAATATAAGTGATCCGAGATACGTGTGGAATGATCACGGGTCACTGATTGAAGGCAGCTTTATTCTAGGTGCTTGGGGACACAAGGGGAAGCAAAAATAAACCCAATTGTGCACTCAGGGAGCTCACTTGAGCGAAGTAGAACGGGAGTTGATCATCAAAATAAACATCAACCTGCAAATGTTGTGACAGTGCCATGAAGCGAAGGTACAAGGAGCTGTGAGGATCTGGCCTCCAGGGGTCCTCTCTCCTGGAAGAAGAGGGAGGAGCTTCCTGAGGAAGTAGCTTGAGTTAAGACCAAAGGATGGTTAGGCACCAGCTAGAGGAAGAGGAAAGGAAAGAGAGTTGCATCCTGTTTAGTTTCATCTCAGTTCTTTTCTTTTCCTCTCACTGTATGTTCCCCCTTGGTATTTATCATTATAGCCTCTTCCTGTTTTTCCCACCACCTTAGTTTGCTCAATACTCATGGATTTCTTTATAGGTCGCAAGTGTATGTTGGTCTCCTTTTAGGAAACAACCAAGGCTTACTTTTCTGTTAAAAATGCCAGTAATTATTTTAGAAACTAAGGACAGAATATCAAAGAGCAAAATGAATTAACAAGGGAAGCATGTCCTCTTCTACCTATTTACTCTAATTGGGGTGTGCTTAGGGACATGCCGTATCACAGGTACTTAATAGATTTTGATTGGTTGGTCAGCTGATTGGTTAGTTGCTTGGCTGGTTGACTGAATGGCTGGTTGGCTGGCTGGCTGGCTAGATGTTGGTTGGTTAGCTAGCTGATTAGTAGGTTGGCTGGCTGGCTAGCTGCTGGCTGACTGGGTAGGTGTTTGGTGATTGGCCGACTGCCTGGTCGGTGGACTGGGTAATTGGTGAAAAAAATGAGAGGGGTAATTTAGCTTTGGTTTTAAATTCAGACTTAATTTTTACTCAGATTCTGACTGACCTGTCACTAACTCTATGATATTAGACAATTTACTTAAGCTCTTTAAGTCTCCATTCTATAAAATAGTATTTTTCTCATAGAGCTGTTGTAAGGATAATAGTGATATAGCTTACAAAGCTTTAGCACGGTACTGAGGCTAAATGAACTCTTCATTAGTATATGCTCACTACTTTAAAGAAAAGAAAGAAGCTAGAGTTTTATTTCCAAAAGAAACAAAATTAGTGAAAGCAGATGATGATTCTTTTTAAATGTTTGCCCTATTTATCTTAGTCCTTCAAATATGTTTCAGTGCTGCAAATACACTTCTGTTACAGACTAGAAATACACATACCTGAGAAGATTACAGTATGTGGAAAACTCATAAGCGCACAAGCAAACTATTTTTTTCCTCGACAGATTAAAACGTAATTCTCTCCCCACCCTCTTCCTCTCCCATTCTTCCTCATGACCCTATTATTGTATTATTGTAGGGTGCATTAGGATACTAACTTCCTCTATTAAAAAAAGAAGTGCATCATATATTATTTCTTAACGTGGGTGACGATGGTTACCCAGGAGTTTGCTCTATAACTATTTGCTAAACTGAATATGTATGATTTATGTATTTTCCTATGTGCACACTCACACTTAAACACACACAAAAGAGGTGAAATTGGCATGTAACAAGGTGATGGGATAGGATAGTACAGACCAAATATAAACCTAAGTTGGGTCTAGATAAGCAAAGGAAATTGCTTAAAAATTCCAAATTGAAAGGAATACACAATATACCCTGTGAACAAGAGATAGAGATTATTCCAACTACTCCAAATTGGCTATCTCCATGTCACAAACTGAGTGGCCGGAGTGACAAATTAGGGAACTGTTTGTTTGTTTTGCTAATCTGCATGGATGTGACCTGCGCTGGAGTCACTGTGGGGCAGGATCCTTCCATGTCGTATTCCACTTGCTTAACCTCAGGCATGAAGAGCTTCTCTCCATGACAGAGCTCTTTAGTAGACTGCGATGAGTCAAGTCCCTTTGCACAGGTATCACTGCCCTGTCTCTTCCAGCCATCTTCATTAACATGCCTTCTACTTGTGCATGATTTCAGACACAGCTGCCCTGGTTTACTGAATGCTATCAGACACAAAGTTAAGAATTACAAGTCTTTATTACTAACAAGCAGCTTTTGGTTTTTCAGCGCCGACTGGGAGATGCAGCAAAGAAAGCAATCAGCAAGCTCCAGGTCAGGACCATCAAGAAGGGTGACAAGGTAACAGCCTCTTTTCTTTTTTGGCAAGGAGCTATTCAGAGAAGTGTCCGAGTTTCCTAGCAGCCAGTGTGGAAAAGAAGATGAGAAAGGGAAATACATACTAATAGTTCTCCTGTGAACATCTGTTATTATACCCATCATTGTTTAACATAATTTAAAGCAGTTTATAAAATGCATACTATAGGACAACAAAGTAGTTGGAGGAAGAATTGAAAAGTAGGTATAGGAAAAGTAGACGCAACCAGGATGAAATCAGTATACACACGCATTACCTGAAACATATAGCAGAAATGGGTCCCAAAATTTAAGTTGGGGCTCTCCAGCAAGCCAATGCAAAGAGGGAAACTATATTCAAACAAATCTAATTACCTTATTCCAGTGTCCCACAAGATAAAAACAAAATGGCCGTTGCTGGTATTACAGCTTGAGAAAGTTTTTCCATGAATCCTTGCAAGGAAGATTGTTATGTGCTGAGTGATGTCCTCCACTTGAGTCTGCAGCAAATGCAAGAAGCATATTTAGTCCCTCTGAAATTGAGTTTCTAGAACCCCAACGTCAAGGCAACAGTCTCTCTAGCTGTAGAATGATGACATAAAGCCCAAAGCAGAAGCATATCTTAAGGAAGGACCGCAAAGTAGGCCAGTCTAGGCCCACAAGCCTCTCAAGGCCTCTGTTCTCCCCAGGAGAATTTTTCCCCCAGGAGAAATTTTAGAGCAGTGAATTGCAGTACATGGGTTTGGGGCTCCTTGGGGCATCGTAAGAGGTTCACAACTCTACTTGTATACGGTATTGTCTCCAGTATGAATAATTGATCAGTCTCGCTAATTACGTGCTGCAGTTTTTCAACTATATAAAAATACCGTTGAGCTTAATAGGATAAAATTCATTTAAAGGTATCACTAAATTTAAAGTATATTTTTTCATTACTTTTTTATCCTCAAACAGGATAATAAAAGAACAAGGACTATTACATAAGTAATGTATTATGGGGTGTTGAAAGAGATTTATGTACTTGAAAAGAAAGCTGGAACCATTCTTTACGAGTTGTATAAATTAGATTTCCGAGGAATGGATAGATTAAATATCATTTTGACAATTCTCCATGAATAGTATTTCTCATCCTCGAGACTTTGCTATGTCACCTCCGATTATAATAAGTAGCATTATTAGTAATGGTACATTAAAAAACCGTTCCCTCACAAAAGCTTTTGCAGTGGAACCCGGAAACAGAAAGTGGAGGTTGGAAGGAATAGAAACTAAACCAGTGTACAATAAATTATGGATTAAGAAAACTGGTGCCGAGACAGTTGAAAGCCTTGCTCCAGGCAAGCTCTCCTTTGGCTTGTTATTTGTGTGTTTACCGGAGTTGAAGGTAGGAAAGCAGGCTCACCTGTGCTGTCTCTGTTGCAGGAAACCGAGCCTGATTTTGACAACTGTGCAGTTTGTATTGAAGGGTACAAGCCCAACGATGTGGTCCGGATCTTGCCCTGCCGGTGAGTGGCTAGGCTGCCTGCTTTTGACTGGGGCGTGTGTGGAGAGTGTCTGCTAGCCTCACTGGCTCCGACCTGCTCGGCCTAGCCCTGCAAGGTCAGTCTTCCCCAATGGTGCCGTATTCGAATAAGAAACCACCGACAAGCTCATTCTTTTTGTATAACCTTTCTCCTTGAAACCATTTTCTCTTGTGACATCAGAAATATTTTTCCGATCCTCTTCTCACCGAAGGGAGGAGACTACTGCTATGACCTAGGATCTCATGTACACAGTTTGATGATGTAGCTCCAAGTTCAAGTTTCTTTTAACAACAGATCTATGATATTCAGAATCATACTCGCTTTTACACGTGCTATTTTAATTAAAATAATACTCTTAAAAATGTTTTCTGAATGATCATGAAGGGATCAGCAAACCAGAATACAGTCAGGAGGGACTAGGAAGCCAAAGGCAGATTTCATTCCCCCTTATTTTTTATTGACAAGAAGAGAATGTGACCATCACCCCCAAACTTCTAGAATCTAGGGGCGGATGCCAGCATGTGTAGTTGGAAAAACTGCCAACTGGTGATTCTCTTAGAACCCTAATCCCTCTCTCTCAAGTGAAATTCACCGTTAAGGTGTCTAGATTCTTTTTATACCTTAAAATATATTTACATTTATTAATGTAAATATTAAAATTACATTTTATAACATTAAAATAAATATTACATTTATTAACATTAAATAAATTTAAATATTTCAATAAAATAAAATATGTTAAAGGTGCCTAAAGCTTTTTTAGTGTTTTTGCATCTGTGCAGGTGTCCTAAAAATAAAAATTAAATACTGCCTTAAAGAGCCTTCACTTAGAAATACTGGCTTTAAAAATTCTAACAGTATTTAAGGAAATAAAGTAGAACACAGTCACCACCAAGATATAAAACAATCCATTCGGTCATAAAACAGTGTGATGTTAAGAGCTATTTATTAGAAACACAAAAGAAATAGGATATGCCTTAGAGGACTTAGTTTAATAATCTCAAAGTGACAAAAAGGAACAAGATACTCAAATAGATGCAGACACTCCAAGGGGAGTGGATTGTGCTTGAAATGCTCTCAGGCAAATTGATCAGTAGGAAAACGAGCCTGAGGAAAGCGCACTCTGGTGGCCCCAGCTGAAGCCTTCAGGTGGGATTCCCTTTCCTTAGTTTATAGATGGTTGACTGTCTCTAAGAACAAATCATAAATTGGGCAGCATCCTTCATGTGAGGGTACTATAGATAAATTCTCTCTCTAGACATGATACTTGGTATTTGCTTGGTGACTTCTAGAAATGCTGGCCAAGAATGGCAGCATGTGAACTACAGACAGCCTCTCCCGCTAGCATCTTTCCTCTCTGCAGCATTTTATTAAGAGTTTTATAAAGCCTCATACCTATGCACAAGGAAAGTCTTGATTCTCCTTTTCTTTGGAGCTGGCTTAGAGCCCTGTGAGTCTCCTACTAATAAAAAATATCCAAAGCTAAAATAAAAGGTAAATAGCATCTTTTCCTTGAGAATCCAAAGAACTTTACAAAAGTAATTACAAAAAAAAAACGAAAATTAGAACTACCATATGATTCAGCAATCCCACTACTGGGCATATACCCTGAGAAAACCATAATTCAAAAGGACACATGTACCCCAATGTTCATTGCAGCACTATTTACAATAGCCAGGACATGGAAACAGCCTAAGTGTCCAACGATAGGTGAATGGATAAAGAAGATGTGGCACAGATATACAATGGAATATTACTCAGCCCTAAGAAGGAACGAAATTGGGTTATTTGTAGAGATGTGGATGGACCTAGAGTCTGTCATACAGAGTGAAGTAAGCCAGAAAGAGAAAAACAAATATTGTACAATAACACATATATATGGAATCTAGAAAAATGGTCCAGATGAACCTATTTGTAGGGCAGGAATAGAGACGTAGATGTAGAGAACAGATATGTGGACACAGTGTGGGGAGGGGAGGGTGGAACGAATTGGGAGATTAGGTTTGACATAAATACACTACCATGTGTAAAATAGTTAGCTAAGGGAACCTGCTGTATAGCTCAGGGAGTGCAGCTCGGTGCTCTGTGACGACCTAGGTGGGTGGGATGGGGGGTGGTGGGAAGGAGGTCCAAGAGGGAGGGGATATATGTATACATAGAGCTGATTCACTTCATTGTACAGCAGAAACTAACACAACATTGTAAAGCAATTTTACTCCAGTAAAAGAAAAAAAAACTATATATAGGCTTACTTTAGCTCCATCATTCATACTGTATAAAATAGCTTGTTCAGTTAGAGCTCTTTCATGAGTATATTTCATGCTACTGCATATAATTGCTGGAGGTTGCATAATATCTAAGTCACAGATGTACCACAATGTAATTTACTAGGCCCCTGTTGCGGACCATTTAGCTGATTTCAGTTTTTAATTATGACAAATTACATTGCTTTAGCAGTATTTAAATTGTCATGATATATTATTCCAGATCTGCTTTTATAGTATATGTTTTAGAAATTTTAACAAAGACAAAAGTAGCACGTTAGTACTTGTCACCAAAAAAAAAAACTTTAGGAAGTTTAATCTTATTTATGCAAACACTTGCCCTAGGCCAATGTAGTTTGGCCTCAGGCTCCTCCTTTTTACATCATCATTTGCTTCTCAGCTCATTTCTTGATTCTTTTTGCTTCAGGTTCCTCACTGTACATCTGCTTTTATTTCCTTCCTGTGGGCCCTGCTTTAAATAACAGATACATCGAGCATTACCAAACTCAGGTTGTAGTTGCTGTTTGATCTTAAACTAGACACACAGGCCTACTCTTTGAAGAGTTCTCCAGTTTTTCCATGTGGCTTTTAAAATCAAGATATTTATGCCTGTTGCTGGTTTCTGCCAGACAGTTGGCACTAATGGATGTTATCAAACAAATGCACTGGCATTTGCTTTTTTGCTAGATAATTTCCTCTGGGGTATTATTAAGCCTTTGCTCCTATGAACTTTATAGTCTCTCTTACCAATTATTTCCAGGCTGACTCATCCACAGAATTCTTTGCATCTCCTTGGAGTAAAAACTGTTTCAAACAATGTTCCAGCGTATTGTCTTTCTTCTCTCACACTCTTTTCGGTGGCCTCCTAACTCCTGACATGCTGGGTGCCTCTCTTCTCTATGGTTGCCATTTCGGGTGTCTTTCCAAATCACCCAGTCTCGTACCATGACTTTTTCAAAATCATTCTTCCCTTTTGAAGACACTTGCACAAATTAGGCTGAATTAATAAGTGATTCTTCCTCTTTATTTGTAGTCATGGTGATGAATAAAGTTAAACTGTGCACATATTCAGGTGCCATTTCTCCCCCATTGTCCTTTCTTTGTCAGGGTCCTTCTCTAGCCCTTGGAGGCAAGCTTCCCCATTGGGTGAGCCTGGACACCCACGTTTCATGTGAGGGAGGGACCACAACAGCACACAAAACATCTCAGGTCTAACTTCGGTGGTTTGGATTTGATCCTAATACACCACTAAGATATTTTCCAAGGAGCTGTGGTTTTGCCGTAGCATACCTATGCCAAAACATACAACGACTGCATTCTAGGGCTGTTTTGTGTGACTAGGATCTGTACTTGCGATTATGATTTTTAGCCACAAAAGATATCTTATTGAAGTTCTGTTGTCTTCTCTTGTCCAGAGAAGAAGTTGGGCTCTCTCATTCTCATTCGGCTTTTACCCTATGGTGTCCCCACTGTCCTTCAACGGTTATTCATCTCAAACTATTTACCCAATTGCAAACGCCCTATCTCAGAAAGAGTGTGATCCCCTTGGGCAGAGCAAACGTCCTTGTTTGTCATTTTTTAAAAACAAAGCAGTGTATGCATCCTTTCTCTACATGTTTGTCAATTTTTAAAAACAAAGCAATGTATACGTCCTTTCTCTACGTGCCTATACAATTCTTTCCTATCTCTAATTTATTACTAAAGCGTTATCACTAATTGGGGAAGATATTAGTTTCTACTACTGTCTTTTCCTTTGTTTGCAAACTCTCCCCACAATTTAGGAAAAAGTATGAAAGCTCCTTGGCAACAAGCAGGCCCTTGCCATAACCTTTTTAGTAACTAAATGTTTTATTCAAAACAACAAATATTTCTTTTGTAGCAACTGTATACAAGGAATAGTGTGAAGTACCAGAAATGAAAAGATAAATGGCATGTTCCCTGCTGTAAAGGAAATCAGGCTAGTGAGGGAGAGATAGGAATTCAAATAAGTCATCACAATACACAGTGACATATATGCAGCAGTAATAGCAAAATGAATTAAAATTTTGGAGGAACTAATACCAGGCACAGGGAAGTTAAGAAAGGCTCCACAGGGCTTCCCTGGTGGCACAGTGGTTGAGAGTCCGCCTGCCAATGCAGGGGACAGGGGTTCGTGCCCCGGTCTGGGAAGGTCCCACATGCCGCGGAGCGGCTGGGCCCGTGAGCCACGGCCGCTGAGCCTGCACGTCCAGAGCCTGTGCTCCGCAAGGGGAGAGGCCACAACAGTGAGAGGCCCGCGTAAAGAATCGGGGTCTTTTCATGGGCCAGTCAGAATTGTCCTCTGGGGTAAAACTGGAATGTGTCTTAACTCGCCTTAGCTCATTCCATAGTAACCCATCCATGAGCTATTCAAATTGCATCATCCCCAGCCCCCTAGAGAGACAGAAAAGCAGTTTCTGACAGACGACAGAGTTCGGCTGGGTACTAATGGCCCCATGGAGGCAGCATGTCCTGCTGGCTTGTTATTGTCACAGTTGGATTACAGATAAAATCCTCCAGTGCTCAAGTCATTGTCTTTGGTAGCCGTGCCTCCAACTTTTCACCAGTTCCTATACAAAATTCTCCTGATTACAAATTAGCTCCTGTAGTTACGTTTTGTAAATAGTGCTTCTTGGGGGGAAACCATAGGAGGCAAGTGCTGTGGACACTGGCTGCCCTTTTAATCAGGACTTGGTGCGT